AAATAATTACGGTTGATGGTGTTAGCATTGTTCAAGTTAGATTTATTTGTATATCCTTATGTATAGAAGGATGAAATAATAGTTTTCCAGCAGCATGAATCACTATTCTGAATAACGCAAATAGTAAAATTTATGCTACATTAAGCCTTATGAGAACGGAATTTATCGGTATGCTATAATATGGTTTACAAATAATGGTTCTTATCATCTTGTAACAACTTATGCTTGTTTTTTTTTATCTTTCAATCGACCAGAAAAAAACTCAATCATTTGTGTTAGGGTACGTCATCTGTCGTTCCATGACGTTCCCCATTATCTTCTATCCTTTCTCTATGTTGGTTATCGATATATATAAGATATATGACTATTGTTTCCCTTTCCAGTCTTGTTCTTGTTGTTCTCCTTCTAGTGTTTAGTTGATGCTATTTATGTTGTATTGTTCATGTTTGTTTGATCGTTTATTCAGCTTCGTGAATAAACAAGATAAATCCTAACAATCTGATTTTTTTTATTTTCGTATTTATTTCTAATTACAACTATTTTATTGTTCTTCACAAACAAATTTAAGAACAATATGAAAAATCTATTGTTCTGTTTTAAATACAGTCGGAGTTAACTTTTCTTTTATTCATTTCATTTTCTTGTAGATAATTATTGATAAAATGCTTGCTACAATACCTTTTGTGTCCGTAACCGATGGAATAACAACAGAATTTGTTGCTACACATAATAATACCATTAGTAATAAACTATTATGTTCATTATTCGAAACGGATATTATAGGATTACAATGGTTTGATACAAGATCACAAAGTGTAGCTCTTAAGCAAGTTTATCATAAATTTAAGAAATATATAAATCAATGTTTGTCCTTCTTTTATTTAGTGTTAATTGTATCAATGATCATTATGATGTTAGTCCAGAAAAACATTATATTTATAAAATTACGAAAGTTTATAAAGGTAAATGCGCATTCATAGTTAAATAGAATGAGTATTATTCTGATCTCAATTCTGAATAAAAAATATTTCGAATTTATGTAAAATACTAAATTTCTTTCTTATTGTTTAGGAACAACATCTAATGCTGAACTAAAATTAACTGAATCAAATGATCAAGTTAGTTCTGTATTTTCAACAAGAGATAAAAGTCTTACACCAACGAACGATATTAATAGAGCAGAATTTAATCAATTATTATCAACATTTGATGGAAAGCTTAGAAATTTAAGTACAAATTTTGATGATAAACTTAAGGATCTAACAACAAATATGGATGACAACTTCAATAATTGTAAGTTTTTTCAGCAACTCCTTAATGTACATTATAAAAATATGTCATATAATCTTTTTGTTCAGTATCAAATAAACTTAACTTACTTTTTGAACTTGTTCAACCTACTATTGGACGAGCAATTGATCCATGGGATATAACTGCAAGATCACAAGGTTCATCTCATACCAGCTTATCAAAACAAGTTATAAGCAAGTTTTATAATATAGATGAACATGTGTGTATGATTTGTGGTCCATGTAATGATGTTGTAAATGCTCATATATGGCCAAAACATACACATGGTGAAAATTTATTATCAATGTTTAATTTATCAAATGATGGTTTAAATGATCCAAGGAATTAATTAAGATTAGCTAAATCACTTGAACTTGCTTTTGATAATAAAACATTAACAATTATTATTGAAAATGAACAATTGCTATTATATGTATTAGATGATATGCTCAAAAAACAACGAGTATCTCATACAAGATATACATTTAAAGATTGCCATTTATGGCCATTAAAATTTGGAAATTCAAACCGGCCATTCTTCAGAATTTTAGCTGCTCATTGTAGAAATTCCTTTATTGATGCATTTCGTTTACAAAAAATTAATTATGAAACATACAAATGGGGTTATCACAGCTCAATTGTTATGTTAAATGCATCACCTGATGGAGCAAAAGCTAAAATTTTTGATTGGTTTTAACGAAATGAAAAGATGGTAAAAAGTAAAGAAAGATCCTAATATTTTTATTTATTAGTTCGTACCACTTGAATTAGCTGTTTATTTTAAATATGATAAGTTGTTTTTTATTTCAGATTCATTCATCAAAAAACAGCCACCGGATCAGTTGCTGTTTCTTCTTTGTTGTTAAAACTTCTTCAGATGTTAATATATATGAAGTATTGAATCTGCAACATATTTATATTCTTCATTAAATGAAATAACTTCACTTATAGTTATCTCAACTGATACTGAAACTTCATTTTATCCTTCAATTCGTCATCAGTAATAACATGTTTAACCTGATCAAGAAAAATATATTATTGATATAGATCGTCAAAAAATAATTGATAAATTATTAAAACAACAAAAACTACTTATATGACATAATGAAAAACAAAATTGAATTTTAAAATTATTATATAATTATTAATATAAGATTTAAAAAATAATTCAAACATATACTATGAATAAAGATGGGGTTTTGTCATGTTGAATATGCATGTAATTCTTCATGTATTCCTCTAGATCATCAATCAGATGATAAACAAACAATTGTGATTACAAATATACCAGAAAATGTTAGTGAAGATGATTTGTGTCATTTATTTTCCAACTCTCGTGTATCAAAGTATTGTCCATCACAGATTATTCATCGTAAACCTACCTCCAATGATGTTACAGGCAAAATCAAGATTTTATGGGGGTAAGAATTATATTTCAATTTTATTTTCTATTTTCAAATGTAAAAGACAAACATTTTTTGTATATTTTATACGTCCTTTACAATACGAAAGTGTTTTTATAATTTCTTATTATTATTCATATCTACTATATTTAAAAAGTTCTAGAATTTTATCAATGAAAATTTCTTATACATTACAAGTGTATGAGAAATCGAGTTAAATAATAGACCAATAGAATTAAATTCAATTCTATTTAATAAAATCCATCACTGTGAAAAGGGACTGATTTGTCAAAAAATAAGAATTGTATTATAAGAAAAGAAATGACAAAAATCATCGAGTAGAAACGAATGTTTCGTATGAGTTCAAATTAGAATTTATTCATAAGGATCAAACATTGAGATTCATTCCACACAGATTTTGTTTCGCAGACTGATTTCGTAGATAATACTAATGATTGCCTTTTACTGAACTCTTTCAATATCTTTTTTTGTAGATAATTTAGGTCATATTGTATCGTAACTATTAGTAAAGTTTTCAACTGATTATTGTAGAATAGACATATGTAAATATTTTTGAAAATAATATCGATATTAACAAATGATATCAATATAGGAAATTCTTCTTTTACGATTGAACGACAAAGGTTTCGGAAATCGTATTGGATAAATAAGCAGCAAAATTTGAGTAAATTTTAAAAAAGAAAATTGTCTTTTTTCGTAGGTAGATAAATTAGATGCAACTTGTTGAAAAATTTGATAAAATTGAAAAAATCATTGAAAAATAATCCGCCAAATTGAAGTGAATACTTGATGAATAAATAATATTCAATGGAAATACTTCACAGAAATAATTTCAATTCTTATTTTTTTTTTATTTGGATTTTAGATATGCATTTCTTACTTACGACAATGTTCAACAAGCTGTCAGTGTCATCGAACAAGCTCAGCAATATCACATCAATGGTCAACCATTACGTGTTTCTTTTCGTTCGAAAGAGAACTGATTTTAATCAATTACAAAACAATTCATTGTTTATCATTTTTTTGTATAAATTTAGAAAAATTTTAAACAAATCTTCAATAAATAAATACTTATTATCGTACATTTCACGAAAAAAGAGATGTTGAAATATTTCAATCAACTTTGAATCCACTTTCTATCTCATAGTTTTTATAGATATGAGAGAGAGAGATTTTAGACATATATTTCTCTTTCATCACATATGTAGCAGAAATAGTTATATTCTTTTCTTTACATATGAGTAATCACCTATTTTGTGTTTGTCTTCTTCTCTATACTTTTATTGAAAACTTCCGACTTCTTCATAATGAATTTATTTAGTATCATAGAATTGTAACACAATGTACAATACAATTTCTTGGTCTACCCAGACAGATGAAGCCTCTAAAAAAACGCCGTTTCTACGAATTCTTAACGCGTTACTACGCAATTTTTTGGAAAGCGTTCTACTGCGTTAAAACTTACTCCCTAGTTACTTGTCGAAACGCTGAATTTAACGTGGTTTTACATGTTATTTTGTGAGTTTTAACCAGGCCTGCCAAGTGCTAGCTCCTAAATGTGGTACACCGAATTTCAAATGGGGTACGGTTAGGGTACAAATTTTTTTAAAATGGGGTGCACCGTTGAGGTACGCAGTTTTTTTAAAAGAAAAGAACTGGGTGAAAAAAAACTACCTGAAAACTTATTCTCCTTAAGGGCCCTCCCCCTTTGGTCAAAAATCTATTTTTTTTCCGGAGCACTAAATCTTA